CCCCAAAACCCCAAAACCCCAAAACCCCGCAAGATTTTAATTAGCTTTATCAACAAATTAAGTATAATAAAAAAGTTATCATCAATAAAACATTACTCTAATATTATTTATTTTTTCATCCTATAAATTTTACCTCTAATCTTCTAATTTAGAGGCTGCATCTTATTGCTGATTTATAAATTAAGAGAGATATATTGCATGTAATCCTTTAAATGAATTCGGGTCTTTATCCTTATTAATGAGAATTGGATACTAAAGTTTATCACAAGAGCTGCAGGAGCAGATTTTATAATCATCCTCGTACTGTTTATAGAACACCTTCATTGTATCGCTAAAGAACATCTCAAAATCGAAATCAGGAATAAGTTCAGTAAAAAATGGAATTTACTGATGTTTAGCTCTACCACCTAGTAGATGTTCCATCATCTCTTAAGGGTTTCTAAATTTACTGTGATCTTTCAAAATCTAGCTTTCCTCTGGATTTTATTCTTGCTCTTTTTGCAACTTACAATCAGAGTCCTAAATTGTAAAACCTGCTAAAGGTTCAGTATATATCTATTATTTAAACATTTCTTTAGGTTGTTGATTTGAATTCTATTCTTGTATTATACTAATTGAGTCTTCATCATTTAATTCATCCTCTTCAAAGCTCTAGTATTAATCAAGAATTTACTATTCCTCACTATCTTGCTAAATTTAGTCATTTCCTTGGTTCAAAGAGAATTGATATAAATCTTGATTATCAAAATTTTATCTTTTATCTGTCTTGATTTCCTCTTATTATAATGTTTGTTGAATGAATATGGTATCTTCATCAAATATAGATTCACTAATTTCCATACTTAGTATTTAAATCCCCTCTATCTCGGCTATTTGCCATTAACAATCTGCCATCAAAATTTCATTTTCTAATAGATCATCTATCCTTGGATCAATAGCAATATCCTTCATTGAAAACTTAGATCTCTTTGAACTTAATGACTTGCCACTTACCTTAGAATTTTTTTAGATTTTTTATTTGGAAGGTCTTTTTCCAAGAATTTTATTTGAGCTTTTTCCAAGTAGTTTATTGCTACAAGATAATTTTACTACTTAAGATTTGTACTTATTGCTATCTTTTTTAATTGGCAGGAGTGTACTACTGGACTACTTAATTGGTTCAGAATTAATGACAAAGTAAACCTTAGTGAGATCTATTCTCTATTCTTTTTCATTTTCAAATTCTACTTTAAATCGTCTTGAGTTTTCTAGAAACTTTATAACTTTTCCTTAATTCCATACTCCAGATTTTTCTGAATATACTTTGATTCTAATGTTTTCTAAACTCTTAGGCATAGTCTAGGCTATCATTTGTAAATTTAGAACCTGATCCTCTTCAGTATTTGATGACATTTTACTAATGAATCAGTTAATTTATATTAATTTATTTTCTAATCAATAAACACTTTGATTAAAAGAAATATCTATGGGGTTTTGGGGTTTTGGGGTTTTGGGG